GAAGAAGAGACATCGAAGACAGACGTTGGGAACGTAGAACTAGAAAAGGAGTTCACTGAGGACGAGGTTGAGGCGTGTGTGAACAAGCTGAAGTGCCACAAAGCAGCAGGAGCGGATGGGATAGTCAACGAGTTCATGAAGTTTGGGGGGAAGGGGATGATCCAGCTTATGGACTGCTGTACAACTTGGGTGTGGAAAAACGAGTATACGCCAAGTAGATGGAGGGAAGGAGTGGTTGTGAACTTGTTTAAGAAAGGAGACAAGACTGACCCAGGAAACTACAGGGGGATCACACTGTTGAACACAGTAGGAAAAGTGTTCTGTAAGCTGCTGAACGATAGGATAGTGGGAGTATTGGAGAAGGAACGTACTATTAGCGAGGGCCAGTAGGAAAAGTGTTCCGTATGCTGCTGAACGATAGGATAGTGGCAGTATTGGAGAAGGAACGTAGCATCAGTGAGGGCCAGGCAGGTTTCCGACAGAAGAGGGGTTGCGTAGACCACGTATTCACGGTAGGGAGAATCTTCCAAGGTAGAAAGAGGGCGGGAAAGCCGACGTACTGCTTCTTCCTGGACGTGAAAAAGGCATACGACACCGTATGGAGAAATGGGCTGTGAAAACAATTGTCCAAGTACGGGATCACGGGNAGGTAGAAAGAGGGCGGGAAAGCCGACGTACTGCTTCTTCCTGGACGTGAAAAAGGCATACGACACCGTATGGAGAAATGGGTTGTGGAAACAACTGTCCAAATACGGGATCAAGGGGAAAATGTGGAGAGTGCTGAAGAAGATGACAGAGTGTACGAAAAGCGCGGTCATGCTAGACGGAGAACTGTCTAAATTCTTCGAAATTTAGCAGAGGGTCCCACAAGGTTGCACGCTGTCCCCAGCATTGTTCCAGGTGTTCAACGATCTGTTAGAAGACGAAGAGGCAGTCCGGAAGGGAGTATAAGTAGGGGACACGGAAACTTCGGTGTCGGGAATGCTGTTTGCGGATAAGTGTGTTGGCATGTCGGACACCCCTGAGGGACTGCAACTGCAAATTGACGCGGCGAAGTTTGCTGATAAGTGGAGATTGTCTGCCAACGTTAAGGATAGTGCCGTCATGGTTTGCAACGGGGACAGGGAGGAACCAGTAGAACATAGATGGAAGTGGGGGATCGAGGAGATTGCAGTAGTGGACCAGTACACATACCTCGGAGTAGAGATCGCAAAAGACTGCTCGTGGAATGCACACATGTCCAAGGTAGCGGAAAAGGGCAAAGCACGAGCAGGGAAGCTGTACCCAATACTCGCAAACCGGGACCTCTATACACGCATCAAATTGACGGTTTTGAAGAGCGTAATCGTACCGCCGCTAGAGTACGCCGGAGAAGTATGGGAAGGAAATAAGAAGGTAGTGAAAGAACTCGAGGCGGCGCAGATGAAAGCAGCGAAAACCATCCTAGGATGCTCCAGGCGCACAAGTAATGCAGCCGTGAGGGCAGAATTGGGGATCCAATCCCTACGGTCGGGAAGAGACGCGAGGAAGCTGACCTGGCAGTATCGCATGTGCGGGATGGGAGAGGAGAGGTTGCCGAGAATTGTATGGGAGGCGAAGTGGGCAAACAAAAAGAGGGGTAGACAACCCACGGAATGGGTCAAGGTTGTAGAGGACGTATGGAAGGGGCTCGACATCGACGAAGATGAAACGCTGGAAACGGAGGGTCTACAGGGGTTCAAGGAGAAGATATCTGTTGCTTGTGCCGAGAGAGAACAACAGAATCTGAGGAAAGAATCCAAGGATAAGGAGGGTCTAGAAGTGTACGGAATGTTGAAGGAAGGAATAGGGTTCAAGGACTACCTACATGGACCAATGGATGCAGGAACAAAGCTTAAGGTCAAATTCAGGACCGGGGACATAGGCCTTCGAGAACGTCGACGAAGACATAGGACGGTAGACGACGAAGACGACAAGTTCAAATGTGATTGTGGCTCCGAGTGCGAAGATGGGGTTCATGTAGTCGCGGAATATCAGTTGTACGAAAAGGAGAGGGAAGTGTACACGACTGAGCTGGTCAAAGTAGAAGGGAGGTACTGGGAGATGTTCGAGGCATGGAATAGAGAGAAGAAGGTTGCTGTACTGGTGCATAGGAGGTGGTTTGACAAGGCGGGAAGTTATATCGGGAGAATTGATATCGTTAGGATAGATAGACTAGGGAAGACATTTTTGAACCACCTTTGGCAAAGTAGGAAGGAACGATTGGCCATCGGTGATCGGTCCTGTGGGCACAATGCTCCGTCCTCTCGAGGACGCGTGGTCAGTAGTCTAACCGCTAAGGCATGCAAAGCATAAGAGTACGCCCCCGCCGCCCCCCCCCCGGCCGTAATCGTTTGACTCTTCATATACCACACGCTTCCTCTCGATTCCTCCCGCAGCCATTTTCAACCATCCCGTGAAGGCGTCAGAGTATCCCGACTATCATCAGATCGTCTCGACCCCCATGGATCTCGGAACTATTCAGGTACGTAGTACGCGCACACCCCTTATCCCACTCATCTTACAAAAGACCCCGAGGGTTTTTGGTCGTTGCCGCAGTCGAGGATAGATACCCAATGGTAATGTTCTCCCGAATATTGGTAGGTTTGTATTGCTCAGCCCGTGGAAGGTCCCGTTGTCACCCGCCGCTGACGCACTCCTGGCACAGAGTGCGACTTGCCACGGAACTGTCTGCGGACGTCAAGACAGTTCAAGCCTACGCCCGCAAGCAGGTTGACGCCGTGATTTTGCCACAAAACAAATACCTCGTCTGCATCATCCATCCCAACCGGTTGCCGTTGCAAAGTTCCCTCTCTTTTCAGCTCTTTTGAGAGACAGCTTTCGTCGCCCTCGGTACAGAAGCGACTGTACAGAAGTCGACTCACAGCAGTAGAAGAACAACCGTCGCAGAGCTCGGCGTCATGGGCCGGAAAAGTTTTGGATCACCATCACATCGCTCGTCATGGACCTACAAATATCACCTAGAAATCGACATAAACTCTCTCCAAACGCCATTAGTTAGCGGCGGCGCCAATAGTGCGGAACAACTATCGAACTCGACTTTGTAGCCCCCAACGGTTTTCTCCCTCACGAAGCCCCTGGTAGACGTACTGAGTGCTGTCGCCATCTAGATAAAGTAGCTGGCGTTCGGGGGCAGTGTAGGTCAAGCACCACCGACGGCGATACCTTGCCCAATGTTAGAATTTTGGATCATCCCTTCAACGAGAGGTGTAGAAAGTTTACACGAAAACCGGAGGGTGTGTGTGTTTGTGTTTTCGTCCTATGGTTGTGGCCACAGTCCCCCCCCCCATTTTTCGTGGTGAGACGTGTACTGCGCTTTGTCAGCGTATGTAGAGTACTACATACACTCTTCAGTGTATTTTTTCGTACAACTACAACCATCCAGGGTTACACAGGAGGGGGTAGACACCAGGGCTTTTCCCTTCATTTTTATTTATTTTCATGCCCTTCCTCCTGCGGTGCGTGCTGGATTTTATTTTAATCGCGGGAAGGGTCCAGCCGTCCCTTTCCCTCGTCAACGGTGCTAACGTCGAAGGTTGGTACTCACGAGAGCTTTTCAGCAAGTTTCGCTTTCACCCGCAAAGTTTGCAAATTTTTCACCCCCGTAGGGATTCGGCAAAGTAGNTGTATTTTTTCGTACAACTACAACCATCCAGGGTTACACAGGAGGGGGTAGACACCAGGGCTTTTCCCTTCATTTTTATTTATTTTCATGCCCTTCCTCCTGCGGTGCGTGCTGGATTTTATTTTAATCGCGGGAAGGGTCCAGCCGTCCCTTTCCCTCGTCAACGGTGCTAACGTCGAAGGTTGGTACTCACGAGAGCTTTTCAGCAAGTTTCGCTTTCACCCGCAAAGTTTGCAAATTTTTCACCCCCGTAGGGATTCGGCAAAGTAGAAAGGAGAAAGGAACGATTGGCCATCGGTGATCGGTCCTGTGGGAACAATGCTCCGTCCTCTCGAGGACGCGTGGTCAATGGTCAAACCGCTAAGGCATGCAAAACATAAGAGTACGCCCCCCCCCCGTAGGGATTTGAACTCACGACCTCTGCAATTAGCGGTTTACGAGGATACCATTCGACCACCGGGGCGACCGGAGAGTAGAAAGGGGTCAACTCATTATCATTATCGTCGGTATGGAATACAAGAATGCCCTGTTTTCCATGGGCGTGCAATACGGGTGTTCCACGCACCGTTTGCCATCGCCTTTCGCCGGTTGCGTTTGGTCGATGGATTCAACTGCTCCATTCAAGCAAGGGGTACTTATGACGGACCCTTCACCCGTGTTTCCAACCGACCTTCTTTTTCTTGATTGTATCGCAATTGTGAAAACATTCTGCCCTCCATCAACCACCTCGTGTTCCGTGCTCTTCGAGGAAACAAGCGAGCTCGATGAAACAGAGGATGCGCTGAAACGACTGTTGCCAGATCATACAGACCGGGCCGGCAGTTCATTGGATCGAGGCGGCTCAACTGCTTATTACGTCGCGACCGTATCGTCCAGAGCAGGAGCTCAATACATTGGGAGTAGATTAAGTGTTGGATACACCGTTGAGCTGCGTTTCCCAGCCCTATATATCTTGTTGTCCATTAAAATTTGAGCCGCTCTCTCGTAGCTGAGTGTTTCCTGGTTGCGGGACCGTTCAGTGCCGCTTGGCGGTCAGAGTGTGCAAAGTACAGATTCAATGCGTACCGTTGTGGTTTTGACCTTTTTTTTTCGCTCTGGCCTCTACTGAACCCGGCACCTTCTCTTGCCTACGCGTCAGGGTCGAGAAGCGCAGTTCGTGGGCGCAAGCTGACCCAACTAAAGTTGCACCTCGAGTGTTTTGTAAGCCCTTCCACCCCCAATACCGGAAAAATATGGAACATCGCACCACATAGCCCGAGACCGAAAATCGAATGTCGACTGCTCCACACCTGTCGTAGAATGCTGCTGTGAAAAAGTGATGGATGCGGGTAGGGGGAGCTCCGGATCTTTCTAGAGCCGCCTGTATCGGAATCAGCACCCAACTCGTTGTGGAGAGGTCGATCAATTGCCCTCGGCCTAGTGGATGTGCGATGACCCGCAGTCTCACCGGTACGTAGGCCACCGCAAGGCATGGCTGCCACCTTTCGCGGACACGATCGATCTCACTTTTTCAGTGCTTGGATTCAGCATGGGGTGGGTTTTGGCATCTATTGCGTTTGGTGAATCGGTTGTCTTGTTGCCGTGCCTGCCCGCCAGGAGAACATCCGGCAGAACGTTTACCCTTCCCTCGAGGCCTGCGCGAAGGACGTGAGAACGGTCTGGACGAATGCCTACCTGTACAACCCGGTGAGTGTCGTCGTCGGGCTTCCCCCGCTCTCTTCACGAGGACCCGACCCGTTGCTGCCACCTAGTAAGCGTATGTTGTACTTGTATTTCTTGACGTTTGCTGCCGTCCTGCGGTACGGCGCACCTTTTGACGCAGATGTATATTCTTGCGTGGCTCCTTGCTTTTTTGTTTCCCTGCAATCAATGTTTCTGTTTTTGCCCATTTCGTCTGTCTCCGAATAAACGACTGCCTCGCGCCCTCTCCTTCTCTTCGCCCCCCCCCCTGACGCCGGTCCGTGTGCCCGTCCCTCGTTCCTCGTCTCTCCAGGCGAAAAGCGTCGTGGCCCAGGGCGCCCGCGCGCTTTCTAAGGTGTTCGAGGGGATGTACAACAAAATCAACCCCACCGGTGAGAGCTTGTTGCCACGACATGCTGGGCTTTCCCACGCGGCTTGCTTTTGACCCCCCGGGGCGCTTTTGTCGATTCCCCCGGTCTTGGGGGTCCCGAACGTCGACTGCCTGGTGCATTCGGCCGAATGCTAGCCAAGATTACGTTTCACATGCAAGGACGGCGCGTGTTCCGCACGTCCGACGCCGCCGCTATGCCGTTCACTTATTTGGGTCGGCATCTTGACATGGCACATGAGATTGCAGCTCTGCTTGTTCCTCCCCCCCTTGGTGCACCTTCGTCCCGCTGTGGTGTCAGATTTCAACTACGCGCGCGAGCCGAACGTGGATGAGCGCAACAAGCTGAGCAGGGACATCTACCGAGTGGAAGACTCGCAGCTGGCGGAGGCCGTTCAGCTTCTGGAGCAGAGATGCCCCGACGCGGTTGTCAGGGTGAGCAAGAGCACAGCAGTCAACTGCGACAGAGACAGAGGGAAGAGGGCCAAGCATGGGGTGGGGCGGTAGAGAGCAGCGGTCGTGCGTTAGAGCCTTTGTGTAGTAAAGTGAATCGCGATGGGAGGGACGAGATTGCGTACAGCAACATCGTTCGGGTTCCACGGCGCCCCCCGCGGACCGAACCTCTACGGACCCTTTCGACCCAAAGATGCTAGTGCACCGTGTGCGACTTTCGCTACGCCGTCCCAATTGGTTCTACGGAGCAAGTACCTGTTTAAGTGTGTGCACAAAGTTTTCATTTTTTCAAAATGGTGGCAACACATTCAGAGAAGGTTCTTGTGTCGGTCCGGCAAGAGCCCGTTCCGTCCGGGAACGCGGAAGTATGAACCCTCTCGCGACGTCCGTGGCCATCTTCGAAAATAACACCCAATGCGGTCTAAATATGTGCTTGTAGCCGTAAACAAACGCCCCCCCTGCCCACCCCCGCCCTTGCCATCGCTTCTGTTACACCTCTCAATCCCCATTTTCGGACCGATAACGCCGAACTGGTTGTGCACTGTTAAGGACGACGAGGAAGGGTACTTCGTGGTGAAGGTGGAGGCCCTCCCCTCCCCGGTGTTCTGGGAGGTTGAGCTGTACCTGAGAAGGCGGCTGTTCAACCAGCCAGACCGCACCAAGAAGAAGATCCCGACGACGTTCCGGCCCCCTCCCGAGTCCATGGCGAGACTCAGCGGCCGCAAGCGCGGCAACGACGGCGGCGGCGGCGACGACGCCGGTGGAAGCAGCAGGGGGGAGAGCGGTGGAAGAAGTAGCGGCGGGCGGGACGGAACCGGCGGCCCGAGCACGAGCGCCACGCCGGAGGTCAGCAGCGGTGGGTCGGACAAGAAGAGAAAAACGGACGATCCTGCTAGTGCCGTTACCATGGCAGTGACAGACGGGAGCAGTGGCCATGCCGGCGGCGGCAGCAGCGTGAACGGCGACGAAAGTCGTGCCGCTTCGGAGCCCGCTGCGGTAGCACCCGGCCCGACGCCGGCGGGACCAGTCGGTGGGGACGTGCTTGCGGCTCCCGGGGTTGGAACAGACGAGAGCGGGTTGGGAAGTAGCGCGGCTGACGCCGTATGGGAGGACGGCCTCTTTTTAGCTGACACTTCTTTCCGAGAAGCTGGGGTTGGGGTTGGCATCGATGTGGCGGCGGCGGGAGCGCCGCAGTAGGTTTGGCGAGCAGGGGGGGGGGAGGGGGCAAGTGTGATGTAGCCTACTGGGTGGTGGTTGTGCTTTAGTTGATGTGTGCGGCGGGATTGATACAGCCCACCCTCCGTTTGAGCGCCTTCCGTTTCCCTCCAAAATCCGAGCTTGAACTATCGTTTTACGCCGAACCTCAGTGGCCTACAGNGGGGGGGGGGGGGGGGGGGGAGGGGGCAAGTGTGATGTAGCCTACTGGGTGGTGGTTGTGCTTTAGTTGATGTGTGCGGCGGGATTGATACAGCCCACCCTCCGTTTGAGCGCCTTCCGTTTCCCTCCAAAATCCGAGCTTGAACTATCGTTTTACGCCGAACCTCAGTGGCCTACAGCTCGGCGAGCGGAACGAGCACCGCTTGCAAGGGCAATTGGCGGCAGCACGACGCTGCTTTCATAGCGTACGGCAGTCAACAGCTTCGCGTGGTGGATGCCGCACGAGGGACCAAACATCGACGCCCCGGCGATGGTCACATTGAAATGCAAAAGTACCTCCCGTCCGAGCGCGCTCGACGGATCGACCGAATTGCTATGTAGACCGCGGTGATTTTGTTTCCCCGTCTTGGGGCGACGTGAGAAAGGGTTGGGTGCTTTCGGTCCCGTCCCGTTGGTGCCGCCCAACAACGGATCCTGTGTACGCCATTTCTCGTGCCGCCGGCGCTATCTGCATGGACAAGACTCTCTATCCTTGCCACGCTTGTGATTAATGTACCCTCCTTGCGCATGTATCCAAACACGCCGTGCTTTTATACATGCGCGAGTTTCGGGGCACAAGGCGCTCACGGCAGGTGCACGATGAGGTTCAGGACCAACTACCGGGAACAGGGAGAATCGCCCACAACAATCATATACATTAAACATACAGAACAACCCACATCTCCTCCCCACAAGATGTCTGTTGCCGAAGCAACCGGGAAAACGACCACAAGACTTAACTGGGCTCCGTCGCCCAGGTAAGCGGCAAACTACCGTTGACTGTAGGTAGAGGATCACCGCGTAGGCTGCGCGTGGTGTCGATACCACAGGTTACGCGCAAAAGTGTAAGCCACACTTGTGGAAGGTTGGTGCCAACAAGTTCCGAGAACAAGCTGGCCGCGTGTCGCACACCAGTCGTGCTGTTCGCGGGAGCTTGGTGGGGGTTGTTGAGGCGATGGGAGAGGTGTCAAGCCATACCGCAGACGTTCCCTTCAAACCCGGATACTTGGCATAGCTTCCGTCCCCCACCCTGCACCCACCCGACCCGGCCCCGTCTCGCCCACCATATGTCCCTTCCCCCAAGGGTCAAGTCTACAATTGCCGTTGAGAAGTCTCCCGCGTCGCGAATGTGAAGAGTCGTCAACCAACCACCATGCTAATGCCAAACGCTAGAGCCCGCTTTGCTCTTGTTGTCGCCCCTTCGCGCGAGCCTCGAGGAAGGAAACCTTGCCGGTAGAGTGGAAGAAACTTCAATCATTTTCGCGAGCTCTTGCGGCGACAGTAGGAAATTGCGTCCAGCAGGGGCCTGAAGACCAACAGATAGTTGCTCGGAAGGTTGGGGCGGGGGCAAAGGTGTGCAGCAACTGCTATGTCACCGTCGTAATAAGGAACCCGTATGTTAGGTGCAGCGAGGGATCTGATGCGTTCCTCTCCATGGTTCATACAGCTAAGTTCGACTTCGTTCGCTCGACTCGCAGGTTGGGACAAGTGTAGACCAGCAGGCGGTATGGATCACTAGCCTGCCAGATCCACTTCATTTTCGTGTTGAACTCAACTCGTATTGTTTGCGTCACCCTTTTCTTTGCTTCCTTTTCAGGTTTGTCAGCGTAGTACGAAATTTTTCATCGTGCAATGAACATATTCCAAGCAGGCAAGGCACCCGACCACTACCAAACTACAACGTTAGAAAGAAACAACAAGGAGAACGCCCCCGCCCGCGCTCCCCGCCACTCCCGGCGCTCCATCTCCCGGGCCCAAGCTTAACGACGGGGGGTCAAACCTGAGTATTTTCCGCTCCTGGGAATCTTCGCACAGCTTCTCAACGAAATCTTCCTTGAGACTCGCGAACGCGACCCTCGCCGCATCGTTGATATACTCTTCCTGTCTCCGTGGAGGGACGCGAGAGCAGGTGGCGCACGACAAGGCACAGCAGTTCAGGTTAAATGGGCTTTCGTTGCAACCACTGCCGGCGCAATGGAGCCTTTTTAGTACCCCTCGTTGGGCACGGTGATACATCGGTGTGGCTTGTGGGCGCAACATACATGGCAGAGAACCCTCCCCGCTCGCGCCTCCAGTGGAAGGACGACATGTGTTACTTGACGTCGGGGGGACTAGGGCTGTACTCATAGTCGTGCATGCCGTAGTCGTTAGACCATTGACCTCGCATTCCTACAAAGCCGGGACAGAGCACGCCAGGTTCTCACCGGACCAGGCCCTCACACCATCAAGCGCGAAGCGCCGTGAGATATTCGGCGAGTCGCATGAAGGGTGCGCTGCATCCTGCTAAGGGTGTTCGGCATCTTGTGCTTACTTCCTTGCGTACGGATGACAGCTGCGTATGACTTAATTTATTTTCTGGTGCTTTCACTTCCAGAGACAGTTGTAAGCACTGTGTAACTGCCTCGAGGGTGCTTGACCATTTTAACACAACGTGGTGCGATCATCCCCCTTGCGCGGAGTGAGGGTTCTCCACCCCGCACAACATGATCTACTCGACCACCATTATGGTTACCGCCAAAAAAAAAGAGTTGAAAAATGAAAGAAAAGGTAACCTGGTTGCCGAGTTCACGAAGTGAATTGGCTTGTTTGACACCGTCGTTGCCAAGCGACGAAAACCCAATCCCGATGGCAAACACCGAGGGGAGAATAGGGGGCGGGGTAATCGGAATAGCTGAGCAAGCCGATAGAGGTGGTTTGATATTAAGCGTTCCTCAGGGTAAGTCAACCTCAGCGGCATCTCGAGCTTCTTTTCTTTTGGGGAAGGGAGGGGTGGTACGACCAATAATGCAAAGGAGCCGTGCGCTTGGCTTGTAGTGTTGAGTTGAAGTCGGGACAACCATAGGTAGAAGGAAACCTTTCTACCATTAGGTAGAGCTATCTGTCGCGTTCTCCCGTAAGACTTTGTCATGAAGTAAACAGCTGAAGTATTAATTCGTCAATTATCTAACACACGTTCTCCTTTCAGCGTTTGACGCATGCGCTCCTCATCATCCTCGTCTTCCTGCTAAACTCCCTCGCTACTCTCCGTAGATGACTCAAGAACCACCTCGTCAATTGCAAATCATCGCGCGCTGCCCTCGCCCCACTCCGCTCTGAGGGTGACCAAATCAGCTTTAAAAAAAGAACATGATCTCGAGGGGTCTCGCACGGGCGGTGGCTCCCTCCCCCCCCTCCTCCCCCACCCGCTCCCCTTACCCGGTACGTGATGAAGTCCTCAGTGCCGCACACGAACGCCAGAGCCTCCGCCCCTACCGCCGCGGCTTCCATCCCGAGGTGCCGGTGGTTAGCGTGCAGCATGGCCGCCAGGCAGGAAACGGTTTCGGCTCCCCTGAGGTGCGGCATGACTCGGCCCTCCTCGTAGTCGCTTAGGCACGAAACCAGCCCTCGCAAGTAGCTGAGGCACACTATCTACGCGCCCAAGAAACGTGCATCGAGCGTAGAAAAAACGAGGGATTTGTTCCAAACGCGGGCAGAGCTGCTGTGTGTAACCCTCACCGGCGAAGGGCTATCTCATGGGGGATCTCGTCGCTAAAGGAGGTGGTCGGTTCTCGGTAGTCGTTAGTTTGTAATCGTCAACGGACGCCAGCAGGAGCAGTAGCCGACCGGTAACCAGATTCAAAGTCGGCGCAGGTGCGTTTTCCTCTCTGACACGTTCAACTCACTCCCTAAAGCGACGAGACTTTTGAGTATCGTGGCAGCGTTTTCAACGCGCAACAGCCAACAAATTATGTTGAGCACAACAGGCGTACATTGGCGCGAAGAAGTCCGCCGAAACTTTTGAGCGCTCTGTGAGACCCTTACTTTTGACTTCTTTGCCATTGGTCCAGAACGGAGAATTCAATGTAGAAAAGGGTCGACATGTATCTACAGAGATTGGTAACAATGCCTACCAGATGGGGTCACGTTGAATAGAACAGTAACAGGTGGATGCTTTGAACCAATCAGCTAAATAAAAGTGTTATTGCACGCACGCAAGACTACGTTCGGTTACCTCCTGACGTCCCGCCAAGTCTCCTCTCAAGCTCATGTCCTCGACAGCACCGGGGTTGTCAGCTGCGTCCCTATACACCTGCGGTCCGTGTTTTTATGCCAAGGAGGTGGTGGCCGAAACATCGACGTATGCGTCACTTAGCGTGAAACATTGCAACTGACCAACTGTAGCATGTACTGACCAAAGCACGTATGAGCGGAAAATAAAACTCGGGTGTGTCTTGATATTTTTCTTACCCCGGTAACGTACTCCACAAGCAATGGGATGTCCGTGGTCTGGAGGGCCTCGACGTGGGTCCATGCGTTCCGAAGAACGGTCCCCATGCCCTTCTCGAAAGAGTCCAAGCTTTCGAGCACCTTTTTTCACCGGTTGTCGAGTCAGGCGCAACATTGACAAAAAAAACTGAATATTGCCATCGGCGACTGTCCACTTGTAGACAAACGGGTGGTCGTCTGTCTTGCGAGCTTTTCGGCGCCACACTACAGTACTTCACAAACCATTTATTTTCTACAAACAGAGCTTGCGGCAAGGTCCTCAAGCCTAACGGAACAACGGTCACATTGTTTTTGGGACGTGCGCATGTGTGTGTGTGTGTGAAGTGAGGAGGTATAAAAAAACGGAACATGCTGACGAAGTAACCTCGATGAAGTGCTGCACATCTCTCGTTCCCGTCATGCGTACCTACATAATGAAACGACACTGGTTCCTGAAGTGTTTTCTCCCTAGCAACAGGTGACACACAATGAGAAACACCACGAACCACTCGATGGGCGTGTTCTTACCAACGGTCCGTCCTCGCCTGCCTGGCCACCGCCGTCACGCCTGTTCCGATGGAATTTTCTCCACTCAGACAGGTTCCGAAGACACACGTTGAGCTTTCCGTCCTCCAGGACGTAGCGCAACGCCATCTCCTGAAATAACCAACAGGCACACCAACGACAACGGTTTCGCCAGAAGATTTCGGGGACGAACGAGCGTGCACTCGGTCGGTCGGTCTATCCACGTGAAGCCACACGATCCATGCAGAGCACCGATTTTGGACATTGCTGTGACCAGCGGTGAGGTGGTGCGTCCCGTATCGTGTGTGCCTGTGTATCGTAAATTTGCCTGACAACAGCATGCAAGACGGATGTTGCAGAACTCATTTGCTGACGAGGGGAGTGTCACCTCGTCGGACTTAGCAGCACTACTGACACTCATGTCTGCTGTGACGGGTCCTTACTTCGCCTTCCCATAGCGTCTTTGGACAGTCCTTTCTTTCTCCTTCCTTCCGTTCTCCCTCAATGCAGTCTTGAGTTAGTCTTGCCTGGCAGGCATCGATGCGTTGATTCGCGAGAAAGCACTGGTGTGAAATTCGATAGCATAGTGCCTCGTATTTGAAGGTAAAACTGACTGCCCAGGTGCATGCGCGACGTGTGCCGTACGCATATAATGGTCCGACAACAAACGTTGGTGTTCTGTTCACATATTTTACAACCTGCTGGAAGGATTAGCACGTGGCGCGTAGACTATGTCTCTCGGGCTTGCAGCACTGCTGCAGTGTCTACAAACGTTCCAACCACAGGGAAACACGCTCTCGACGTTAGCCTTCGAACCGAGCGCTCACGAGACACCTCTAAAACTGGAGTGTCGTTCGTTCCGTTTCGGGTGAAACAAAAGAAGCATGGTGGCATCGGACAGAACGAACTTACGTATGCAACAACACTTGAACCATATTGGTTCGGGCGAGGGACGCGTGCAGAAACAGTAGTCGTCTCTCATCAACACAAAAATAATGGGCGGCGCACGTTCTGCAGCATGCTCTGACGAAGATTGTGCGCGCCTCGCTGCATCGAACGCTCCTACCCACCTCCGCCTCCGAAATTTCAGCTATCCTGCCTAGAGCGGTCGCCATTTTACACCATTCATCAGAGAGCAGAGGAAACGCCCCCTGTCATGGACGCGAAGCGGTGGATACAGCAGTAGTGAAGTCGACAACAGGTGTCAGGCTTGTTTCGTGACACCATATGGGGTCGCGTAGCGGCCAATGAGATATTGAACTCTCGATACAAACAAGCAAATCTGAAATACGTTTCTGTTCGTGTGCGTTAGACCTTTCTTGCCAGTCGGAGTGCAATGTGAAGACATAAAAAACATGCCATAAGACGCCAAGTTTGATTCTTGGCTTGAGTGCTTCAAACAAGCACTGTACCGCAAGATCCATGCACCTGAAGGCTAAACTATAGTAGTCTAGAGTCTGCTGTAGAGTCCACATGTCGATGTTCTTCCTCTTGGTCTCGTGACATTTTCTACTGCGTGCTGCATTCTCGCGCCGTAGTGTAGGTACTATAGTCAAGTCTACTTGTAGTCTACAGCAGTCTACATTATGTACTCATTCTTGGTTCGACAGCTCATCATGCATATGCCTAAGATCCAGTACAATCTCACCAGCGCCCGAATGTTGCCTCTAAGATCTGCACTTAGCTTGGTGGACAGAGCTTCCATGCTGTCCTCGCCGTTGTTCGATTGGTATGCCTGTGGGCGCCTCGCCATCATCATGAATGCCACGAAGTGTACAATTTAGTCTAGACTTTATCCCGGTGGGTTACGTACTGAAGTGCATGCACGACAAGCCGTGATTCCGGGATAATGTTCCGAATAGGCCCAGTACCGACCGAAGTTGTGCTGGTATGTAGACTACGGATCGCTCTCCTTCCTGCCGCAGTCTCGAGGATGCTACTGTAATCCACCCTTTTGGATCGTGGTTCACACGAACGCCGAATCTTGCTGCGCCTGTGAGCAACACGAGCCGCTGCTCCTCTCTTCTGGCCTCCTCTCTCCTATATGGCTATACCGTGCAGTGTCATGAAACGGATAAATAATATGGTGCACTCTCTTCTTTCGTTGTTTGTCCTACCGCCCTCTTCTGTACGCACGCGTCGTCCGCCCCGGGTTTGTTTATTGCTCTTCGAAAAGTTGTCGGGGTTTTCGTCGGCAAAGCAGGGCAAATCTCTCCGCCGATAAAATACTTGTGGCGTTTCACTGAAAAGGCTGTGATGGCAACAACGCCTGCGGTTTTCCAAGCCAACGACGGAATATCCAAAAAATAAAAAAGTATTTTTCTCCTCATTTTCTTGCTCCTGTCTCTCCCATCATCAGGTCTAGAGCTGCTAAGCTGCCTCTGCTGTCTCTCAACGGAAGAGAATTGGAGTGCGCGCTCTTCTCCAGCAGCTGCAAGACTTGGGACGACAGGGAGAAGAGGGAGGTGCTGCAGCCGCTGTAGCCGCACTCGCTTACCGGAGGAAAAGTGGCACACACACACCCGAGAAGTAGAGTCTGCTGTGAGAGCAATCATTCATTCGGAGGGTCGGGTCATTACACCATTTTCGGCGGCAGAAGCACCCTGAACACCCGCCTGGGCCGGGGGGGGGGTAACAAAATAAGAGAGGGAGTGGGGAGACGACGCGCGATAATAACGGGGGAACTGGATATCGGAGAAGGAGGAGGAGGAGGAGAGCCGCCACCATCATCGTCTCATCGTCGAGGGAAGGGCGACCGCCGTGCAGACCACGATTTCCGGAGCCCATGGTGTTCGTTTATGGGTGCTTGCACAAAAAATGCCTGGTTCTTTGGAAGGAGAGATACTTTGTGCTCAAGGTGAGAGGCCATATAGCAAATAGAGCCCTGTGCACACGCTACCACGTGGACGGATGTAAAGTTGAAGCACAGGCCCCTCGAGCTTTGGACTCCCTCCGTTGGGGGTTGTGCGCTTGTTCGTTTTTGTCAGTGTCAGTAGGGTTATTTTCCCGTCAACACACATGGGCAAACACCAAACGTGCCGTGTTTTGCCACACAGTAGCAGTTCTGCCGGGAGGAACTTTCATGGGCGATCGATATGTCGCCTCAATCGCTCCCGGCCCAGGCTAGACAGCGAGAAGGGTTGGTCCGCCTTCACGCCTGCAGGCGTCCAGGTTTCTGTAGCACGCGCGAAGCGAGACCGTTAATTCAATGAATAGTGAGAAGGAGGGAGGTTCCTCTCCTCTTGCTCTTCGGTGGTTGATTTTCTGGGTGTGCTCGATGACTCTTTAGGTTGGGTTGGAAAAAAACAAGCATGCAATGAAGAAGTCCCTATATCCACCGCCCATATATATCGTAGATGTCGCAGAAGCAGGTGTTGTCAGCAACAAACAACCCTTACAGCCATGGTGGCACAAGATTCCTGGCGTTGATACATATACTCTTAGGCCAATAATCAGTAAACTCCGAACTATGTGCCATTTTTTTCACCATCACATGTTGAGGGATTTGCAATCTGTTCACAGGTTTTGTTTGCTGGACACAACGAGGTGTTTGCTTGAGAAGGTGCAGTTGTTCGGGCACACGCACTCGCGATCAGATGTGGTACACAAAACGGGCGGGTATCTACGTGTGCTTGTTTGGTTGGTGAGCTTCTCGAGTCACTCGTTGCCGCAAGAGAGGATATTTTCCCAGGCTGGGGTTAACGTGGAACACACACGCTCCTCCACCTACGTGCGCCCTCCTCCCCTCATCAATCCCTTCATCAATAGATCCAGCGGACAGGGGGCAGAGAAGAGGCTGCCTGCTGTTTTTGTACACATGCATACATGTATTTGCTGCTGCTGCTGCTGCGTGTGCATGTTTCTCCTAGAGGTACAGCGGGGAACATAAGTCGTAGCTCTGGGTGGGTCACCAAGAGAAGAGAGGAGAGAGATAGAGACACGCCCCCCGTTTGCGGCAACGCTGCCCGATAAACGTGGTACATTATTTTGCATCTTCGTTGGATTTTTTTTCTTCTTAATATGACGCAACGAATCCATCTCTATCTAAGGAAAGAGTCCAAGACAGATTGGCAATGAATCCATAGCGTAAGTGAAGGCTACCTTTTTTTTTTTCTTCCTGTGTTTCCATGATTTCCCGAGCAGCATACAGCGACATCTCCCCCGTGGGTAACAGGGTCAACAAGACAGTGTGGTAGCCGTGTTGTGCATCTATCTGCGTGTTATGCTGGGAATGTACGGAAGGAAAGTGTTGGGTAGTGTCCGGGGGGAGGCGGTGCCGCAGTGTACACGGCACAACTTTGCCGTGCAGGGGAAGGTATTCGAAGAATCTCCTTTCCGGGCAACCGTCATTTGTCTGCTGTACGCTCATCATGCTCGGCATGAACAGCTAAAATAGCTCTACTGCATATACGCTTACACGCCGGCGGCTTGACACTTGACACAGCCTGAATGAAATATGAAACTTGCATCCACATGAGACGGACACATTAAGTAATACTTTTCGACTCGAGAAAATAAATAGCAGTCTGTCGCTCTTTTTCAAGACGAGCAACCACCGCTCAGCAATCAAATACCCTTGTAGCTCGGTGCTCTCTTCACCTCTCCTTCTGTGGACCCGTGGGATCACCGGTCGATCCGCATGATACAAATAAAATGAAAGGTGGTGTTGCATACAACGAGAGGTACTGTAAAATGCATACGGGTGTGTGCGCCCCCACCCCCCGCCCCCCGTGGAAGCAAGGAAAAAAATAGTCGTTGGTCACCCAACGACTACCGTACCCGATGTATCTCGCGGTCGTTTTGTTTCGGGGTCACATGCGTGTTGTTCTCTCTCCCCCTACCCGAAGTCGCAAGAGTTTTGTCTTGTTTTTGCTCAAGTGCGGCGGGCAAGAAATTTTAGTTCTGTTTTGTAGATATGGCTGCAAAACTGAAAGGAAAAGGCGGAGAAGGGATATGACATTCTTCAGGGGGCACCCAACAGAGCTATCTAGTTCACACAAAGGGTATGTATTAAGAAGTTAGTGGTAGAGACTTTGAACATATATATTGTTGTCCTCTGGGGTAGGCATGCATCGAGCTGGATCCCCTGCTGCCCCCTGGAATGAACGCTGGCAGGCACGTTGCGCCCTTGCCTGTAAATTTCGTTCACATTGACGACGGCTGTGGTTCAAAACTTCTCAGTGTGTCGTATTCACGCATGAGCCGCAGCAGGATATTACTGTTCTCCCGGGGGCACGCGCACTTTCGATGCGCGTCAGACGGTTTCCTCGTGCACTCGTTTGATGCTAGAGGAAAGACGTGTGTGGCACTACAAAGCAGTACACCACTGGTACACACCGGTTACCTTGCGGAGACTTCTCGGAATCTCTTCACAGGTGTCACGGAATATTTATGTTCGCCACCCATGGCGAAAACACTCATGTGCGCAGCACACGCGTACATGAAGGCTTCTTCATTGCTGGTGGTGTGAAGTGTGTGCGACTTTTTTTTCTGCGTTGTGCCGTCGAGGTGAAGGATAACATTGGTGGACTTCCAAAAGGCCAGCAGGGATCCCGTTTTCGTTTTGGTAGACTTGTGGAAGTGCTTTTTCTACACGCCGCTCCTGCCCCCTCTCGCACCCCCGGGACCGCCACGTTTCGAAGGACAAGACACGCCCTCCCCTTCCTTATGTGAGCGGACACCCGCAAGACGTTTATTGGAACCAGATATCGGGTACACCGGCAACTGTTGTTCGCGTAATTAATGATGCCGTCGTTCACGACCCCCCCCCCCCCCCCCCCCCCCCCCCTCTGTGTTTGCCATCGGGGTTGGGTTTTCGTCGCTTGGCAGCGCGGTTGTAAAAAGAACTCCCTTGAGGGATAATCGCACCACATTGTGTTGGATTGGTCAAGCACCCTCGAGGCAGTTACACAGTGCTTACAACTGTCTCTGGAAGTGAAAGCACCAGAAAATAAATTAAGTCATGCGCAGCTGTCATCCGTACGGAAGTAAGCCTAAGATGCCGAATACCCTTCGCAGGATCAGCGCAACCTTCATGGGACTCATACCTCACGGCGCTTCGCGCATGATGATGTGAGAGCCTGGTTCGGCTAGAACCCGGCGTGCTCCGTCCCGACTTACAGGGATGCGAGGTCAATGGTCTTACGACTACAACATGCACGACTATGAGTACCCCCCCCCCCACCCCACCCCCGGGGTACAGAACCCGTAACGTGTAGCAGCACTACGTGCGGGTTGATTCCGTGGTTTGGGGTAGGGTTAGGGTTAAGCGTCTCGGGATCGAGATTCACTCTCGGGACTCTTGAAGAAATTCGCATGACGCCCTCAAGGACGAAACCTGAAGTTGTGTCCCGTGAGATGTGAGACGTGTTTCGAGGGTCTATTGTCCTGGCCCTTATCTGGCGGAATCCACGGACGGCGGCGGGGCGGAAGAAGAAAGCGAATATCCCCGCCCCGGAGTGCCGAGAAAGTCGACGTTTTTTTCGCGTACTTTGTGCGGGATGATGCGACGAAATGTTTTTTTGCGTGCGGAAGGAATCAGGAATATGGCATTTTGTTCCCGCAACGCGCGCGAAAGTTTTGACTGAAGAGGCGTAAGGAAGTACCGTGATAGTGTCAGCGGTATGTGTACAGACGTGTACCACAGGTTTTTCTGCGTTATTTTTATGTCCGATCCTCAACGCTCTTGGCAAGCAGGGTGATGTGTGCATGCACACACACACACACATCCAGGAAAACAGAAAGTACGCAAGCATGATGTGGGTGTGTGAAACGGATGCCTGGTGGGGCCAGGTGCACGAGGTTTTTTAGCGAGGAAGGAGAAATGTAGCCTCCTGCGAGGCCTTGCGATATGCCCGTGCTCCACCCTTGAAGTGGCGCCGTCTTTCTGCTGAGGTCACGAGGAGATATATCGTGTGGTACACGCTCTACTCCCGTGTCAAGTCAGCTTTTGACATCTCGCTCATGATGTGTAATTTAATCCACGAGCAGTCTTTCTCTCTTCCTCGAAGGACCATTACCCCCGCTTCTAAACTCGAAATAGCTTCTATAAGCGAAATACCCCCCCCTCGTCCCCCCCGGTGTTTACCATCGGCGTCGGGTTTTCGTCGCTTGGCAATGACGCTGTAAAACAAGCCGATCCCCCCCGGTGTTTGCCACCGGGGTTGGGTTTTCGTCGCTTGGCCACGACGTTGTGCAAGAAGTCCCCCCATCGGTGTTTGCCATCGGGATCGGGTTTTCGTCGCTTGGCGACGACGTTGTAAATCGGGCCAATTCACTTCGTGAGCTCGGCAACCAGGTTACCTTTTGTTTTTCATCTCTTTTTTTTGGTCGTACCCATAATGGTCGAGTAGATCATGTTGTGCGGGGTCGAGAACCCTCACTCCGCGCAAGGGGGATGATCGCACCACGTTGTGTTAAAATGGTCAAGCACCCTCGAGGCAGTTACACAGTGCTTACAACTGTCTCTGGAAGTGAACAGAAAACAAACAAAGTCATAAACAGCTGTCATCCGTACACAAGGAAGTAAGCACAAGATGCCGAACACCCTTAGCAGGATGCAGCGCACCCTTCATGCGACTCGCCGAATATCTCACGGCGCTTCGCGCTTGGTGATGTGGAGGCCTGGTCCGGTGAGAACCCGGCGTGCTCCGTCCCGGCTTTGGTGACCACTGTAGGCGGCAAATAGTGCAACCGCCGTTGCTGTTGTTCACGAGCGCGCGAGTCTTGAAATTTGTGGTCACCCACGGCTGACTTGAGCCTTGTTTTGCTTTCGATGATATAGAAACACGCAAATCGGGCACGAAACGTGTGTGGTTGACGGTCTCTGAATTGGCTGTCGCTGTAAAAGAAAGACACGGCCCACATTAGAGTGGGCACGAATGTGGCTGCTGGTGTCGGGCTCGACTTTAGCTGGCGATGAGAAAGCAGCACCCATAGCAGGCACAGATGGCGGCGTCTTGCAGACCCCGCCCCAGAGCCAAGGCTTTCTTTTACGTGTCTCGTCTGTTTGCCGAGTTCCGCTGCTGGCTTAGGAGCCACTGAACAGCTGCTTTGCGACGCGAGGCTGCCTACCCCCAATGCCTTCGCCTGTCTTGTTGATTTTCCTATCTGCCCTCGCCGGGATGAAAATATGAGAAAAAATATTCCAGGTATGGTATATGCTAAGTATATAACTTGCGTGTACGCCACACGACCCGTGTGTGCCCCGCGCTCGTCGCACCACACTCCACGCTTGTAGCCATGGTCTTTATACCGCCAACCCAACCCCCCTGACCACCTCACAGGGAACGACCTTGAGCCAGTACAAGAAGAAGGGCGATAACGAGCCGAAGCGCGTCATGACGGTGGGATCCGGGTGGTCGGTCCAGAGAGCGGCGAAAGCGGGCGACGGATTCGTTTTGACGGCGCCCGGGAGGGTCACCAAGCTTCGGGCGTCGGGCGAGCAGGAGGAGATGGAGGTGGGACAAATTGTTTTTTTTTTTTTATCGGCTCACCTCGACGTTGACTTGGGTTTGACGTGGACGTCTTTGTTCTTGTCAGCTCTCCTTCGTGTTGACTTGACGTGGAATCCTTATTTCTAATGTTTTCCACCCTTTGGTTTCTCGGCGTGTGCTGCACTTCAGCTTCCCGGTCTCGAGCGCTTTGAAGCACACATCATCGAAACAATCATCCTCCCCAAGGGGCAGATTTACCACCAACCGAATGTATGTCCAGGTGTCCATAACCGACTTTCGGCAATACCGCCTCTACCGTTTTGATATCGTGGGAGTTTGCTCCGTGATTTAGTGTTTGGACCTACGACTGGCTGCTCGATAAGTTGGGAGGACGATCACATCGTTGCCCCGCCGGGCGGGCGTCTCCTCGGAAGCAAAGGTGTCTAGTTTCCTCGGCCGTACGCACCGCTGGTATTGGGCGTGTGCTGAGTTGCGGAACGGAACATGTGAACCTCCTCACTCTCTTCTTGCAGAGCCCCGGCAGCGACGACAACGATGTCAAAACACCTCGCCACTTTTGCATCAAACGGACCCGTTGCGAGCGAGGTTATTGTCAGCCGTTTGTCTTTTTTTTTGGTTTTGTTAAAAGAGTCTAAATACAACCGCCCCGGCCGCCCCTTGTTTTGTAAATCGCCGGCCCTCCTGTCCGGAAATCTTCCATCGCTGGAAAACTTGGATCGCGCGCCACGCTTCTCCGTGTAGTGGGTGAACGCCCTCGAAACTCTAATAGAAAACGAGAAGGAGAAGCTGTCCAAGAAACCCTTGAGGAGCAACACGAAGCTGTGGTGGGCGGAGACGAAACAAGGGCAGTTCTGCTTCGAGCTGGACGACCACTACGAGATGGTGAGTGCACCGCTGCTGCTGCTGCTCCTGCTGTTGTTGTTTTTGTGGTGCTGGGGTAGTTTTTGGCCCATTGTCGTTCGTTTTCTGGCGTTGGCTGCTACTTGAGCTGTTCTATATATCTGTCTATTTGTTCTCTCTCTCTCTGGCTCGCTCTTCAGTGTCTGTAGCCCTTTTCGCCGCAATGTGATTTGTTGTATGCATACCACAGTAGTACATACCACATACCACACCTCGTTCCGGACTTCGTTCATTCCTGATAATGTGTGTGTCAATCCGGCGGAGTTTATGCTGCGGTGATCTCTACTAAGTACCCAAGAGTGGATGTCCGTCCCCTTTACCCTGTGCATCCACTTGTCTGTTGCTTTAAAGCCTTTCTCACACACGATGTCTCACACGATGTCTCACACGATGTCTCACACTCAGATATACCACGTGTATTTCCCTCCCCCTTTTGCCAACGCTACCCCACCCTCCGCCCTGTGTTGGCAGAACAAAACGATCGGGAGCGGTGGGTATGGGGTGGTCGTTTCGGCCCTCGATAAGAAGAAGGACACCAGGGTCGCCGTCAAGAAGGTGGGTCCTCGTTGCAGCCGCTGCTCCTTGTTGTAGTGTTGCCAAAGCTCGCCCAAGTCTCTCGCTAGACCCAGACTCTCGGCAGCAGTGGTTCGTTCGACGGTAGTTACCAGAGGCCAATGTTTCCAGATAGCATCAACCCGGTTGTTTTTCAATTGCGCTTCAGTTTCCGCCGATTCCACGCGTATGAGTGTGAGCCGTTTGTGGGTCACGAATAGCGCTGCTTTGGTGGTTGTGTCCAAGGGTGTAGCCTAGGTTGGAGCTTAGGGTGAAGCTTAGGGTGTAGCTTAGGGTGAAGCTGAGGGTGTAGCTTTGGGTGTAGCTTAGGGTGAAGCTTAGGGTGTAGCTGGGTTCACCACCCAGCTCTCTCAGCTCGTGAGGCTTCGACACGCTTTCAAGCACACTTGCGAGAGACCCAAGCACACGGGTTGGAAAGGTGGTGTTCTTGTGCGTGAGTATTTTGCCGTCAAGGCCTGGCGCGTTTGTATTGGTCAGCCGGTTAGCTCGTCCGATTCTAATTGTAAAGACATACACACATGGCCTTCGGAAGCGTTAGCGTTGCACTCAAACACACACATCGCCTTCAGAATCGTTTCCCTTTGTTTGCGGCACTGACAAGTGGCGTATTGTCATGTGGCCAAGCCAATCAGCGCGGTCGAAAATGCCACTTAAGACACGCGCGCGCGCACTCCCCTCATGCAACACACACACACAGGTGGTTTCGGCGTTCGACGACATGCTGGTGGCCAAGCGCATGATCCGCGAGATCCGGCTATTGAGACAGTTCGACCACGACAACATCATCCGCATCGTGGACATGATGCCTCCTCCCAGCGTGGAGAAGTTCAAGGACGTCTACATGGTGCTCGACAGGATGGACACGGTAAGATGACGTTGGATGCGTGCGAGATAGTCCGGCGTGTAGGTTTATGGGAGTCTATTCCCCGCCTCCTCGATGATTGTTCTCTCTGCCGGTAAAGGGCGGCTGCAGCGGGCAACACTCTCACACCTTTCCACGCGCAGGTCGAAAACTGTTCCTGAATTGTGCTTTGCTTACGGCCATGTCTACAAGAGCACACTGGATTTACGCCGAATTTATCGCTTACTTCGAGTGGTTTTCTTATCGTATTTGTTGCGCGAACTTGTCCTGGCGGTATTTTTTTCAGGACTTGCACCACATCATCTACTCGGGACAAAACCTGAAGCAGGCTCACCTCCAGTTCTTCCTGTACCAGATCCTGTGCGGGCTGCACTACATGCACTCCGCGAGGGTAATCCACAGAGATCTCAAGCCAGCAAACGTGCTCGTCAATACCACTTGTGAACTCAAGGTATGGACCATCTAAATATCTTCTCTTCGGCCGTTGATGTTGTTGCGGTTCATGGCTGCCTGGAGTTCATGTTTCCCCGTCGGATAATCCCCCCCCCCGCTGCAGTTGTCATCCGTACGCAAGGAAGTACGCACAAGATGCCGAACNTGGTCCGGTGAGAACCCGGCGTGCTCCGTCCCGGCTTTGTAGGGATGCGAGGTCAATGGTCTAACGACTACGGCATGCACCACTATGAGTGCACCCCCCCCTGGACACAATAGCAGTTTTTGTGTCTATCTTTCCCCCTTCCAAACGAAGAATAACGGAAGTCGAACTCCGCCCCACCTCCCGTCATATGCACCACCCAACCTATGCTCCCCGGCACGCATCGATCTCCCTGCTGTGTCACAGCTTTGCGACTTTGGGCTGGCACGGAGCCTTGGCAGGGCACCGGCGGCGGAAACAACATCTCCAGGAGGAAGCGGCAGGGATGGCAGTAGTGGGGGGGCGGGGGCGGCGGCGACGGCGGCGGCGGCAGGAGTTTCTCCTGACGTGGAGGACGGGGACTCCGGGGGGGAAGTGAAGTTGACGGAGTACGTGGTCACGCGATGGTGGAGAGCCCCCGAGGTGAGAGAGAGAGAGAGAG